TTTTTTTCCCTTAAACTTTGAACAACGAAATGAAATTATTTCTTTTTAATACACAATATCTCCATATCTATCATATCAAATCGAGAAAAGTACTACTGACGAAAATTAGTTCAAGAAAGGCACTTTGTTACGTAGTAGTACTAGACTAGACTTAACAGTATAATACATAAAATTAAGGCCTTGTTTGAGCCCCATTAATTTGAAGAAATGTATTATGAAGTGGTGATTGATGAAGAATGTGTGGTTAAAAAAGAAGAAAATGTTCTTGATTTACATGTAATAATTAACATTATTTTAACAAAAAATGTGTGGTTAAAATTGAGTACTATAAAAAAACAATTGTGTTATGTGTACAGTCAGGGTTGACAACCTCGGTTGACAAAGGAGCTCACGCTGAATAAAAAATTCTTGGACCCCCCTCCTGTGAGTACATTGTCAACCTCGACCCCGATTATATAAGAAGAATACTTCTAAAAAAAATAATGGAAAAGAATGTAAAGTAGATGACAAACGGGGGCTAAACTTCTTTATCTTACATTCTACAAAATCCATAGAAACACTAATCAGCCAACTTAAAGGTATTTACCTCTCCTGGTAGGTCTTTGGTTATAATCCATTTATCCAGCAGCTCATTGTTGGCTCTTTTTTCTTGCAAAAAATTGGCTGAGAATTGCTTTGCTTCTGCAAGTATGTTTTCTCCTGGAAACATCACCTGAGAAGCCCTATACAGATTATACATTCCTGTAACGGCCTGATTCGACTGTCCAACAAAACAGAAGAACTCTCCATCTTTCTCGAAGTGATTGAAGACATCTGTCATATATGTATTAATCAATCTTCGAGTACCAAAGGACATGACAGTAAATTGAACAAGATTTTAACTCGTGCTTTTTGGTTAATAAATATGGGCTCTCTCTCTCTCTCTCTCTCTCTCTCTCTCTCTCTTATTTGGATGACCATGCTCGTGCTTGTCTTATGAATCCAAGAAATATTGTTTACCTGCAGAAACTTCGTATCCGTGCAACCTCAGAAGTCTGAAACCCATTGCGGTGTCATCAATGTCTTGAACTTCAGAATTTCTTGCCCAGCAGATTCCTTTATTTGTCCAATACCTGAGTTATTGTCATTTATTACTACTTTCTAAAAGCGAAAATGCAAACAATTCACTTATTAGAAAGTATTACCTGTGAACATAGTCCACACATCCCTCAATTTCTTTCTGGAAAAACCGAGAAATTCCTAGTCGTTGCAACCGGTCAACAGCCCAAATGTGCTCGAACAAGTCGACAGGATAGACATTGGGAACTAAAATATGAACAAAAATAAGACAAAATATACAGAAAATATTCCCAAAAAAAAAAAAAGGAAAATTAAACCAGCCCAATATTTTACCTCCCCCATTAAATTTTCTGACAGCATTTGTTAGATATTTGAGGCAATTATCATCTTTGGTCTGCTGGAGTGCAAAGGCAGTGGAGGATGGTGAGAACAGAAATGACCCATCTGATGACTGTAATTTTAATAGCTTTTGCCACTCCAAGTCTGGCATTCCTTCCAGGCTATGGAGTATTGTTGTAGGCACCTTGTTCATTGTGTCTTTTGGTATCCTGTTGCACATACACAATCATTACATGCATATATAAGCTACTTTTGATACACATTGCGCGATAATACACAAATTGAATAAGATTTTAACTTTTTTATTGAACTGACCCGTACTCACTTACGTGTACCATTATATGTATATATAGAAAGTATTCAACTTTCCACTTATTCTTATCTTTACATATATATAAATCTATGAAAGATAAGGTCGTAATAATTACCATTATTTGAGTTCTGAAAATACCCACCTTGTGAGTTTTAAATTTCTTCTGGCGTAGATTTCTTTCAAGACTGGAGATTCATATGGTATATCAATTTCCAGCCTTCTGGCTATTTCTGTAAGTGATGGAAATGCCAATTCGAACCCAATAGGCATATGCTCAGCATTTTCATCTTCAAGCTTGTCCATATTTTCTCTGATAAATTTTATCCCTATACATCACACGAAAACCAAGTAAAATCACCGTACAAATACTATACCTCTATACGAGCATAAGCTCATGACTCGTAAGACAATATCATATTGGAATATCTTAAAGTGCCTCATCCAGGGGCGGACCCAGACCGTTCGAACTATGGGGTCAAATTTTTTTTTTTTTTCGAACAACATATTATGAACAAAAAGGAAAAATCGGTTGTTTGTTGTTCATGTTCGATATTTACACTTTGGGAAGAAATCAGTGGATTATATGATATATCTATAGACTAAATAATGGATATGGACCATATGATTGGATATAGATTTAGGATTTGGACTTTTTGGGGCAAAAAATTAAATTTTCAACAAAAAAAAAATTCCAGAAAACTGTGGGGTCATTTGACCCCACATGACCCCATGTGGGTCCGCCCCTAGCCTCATCTAATAATCGGTTCTTTTTTCCCCCATTAAAATGGGGTAAAATTATGATAGTGGAGTATCTTGTTTAAAGTTTAAAATGCCTCATCTAAATGCATCATGATAACGTGTTCGAAACACTAGTCGTGCTCACCACTATGCATCAAGATTGTGTTACCTTTTTCACTTTTGTCAGGGTGCATGTTCCATGATCTCAATGCAACAACACATGCTAATGTGTTAATTATCCTGTCATGAGCAGTAAAGGTGGCCATGTCACCCCATGAGCCATCATCGAGCTGGTGGTTCACAATCCAATCAAGGCTCCTAGGGAATTGGGGAGCACCACTTCCACCAATATCTTCCACCAGTGCCACCCAAGCCGTGTCGTAAGCCGATACACTTATTTCTCCATCTTCCATTGAACACAACATCCATCGTATTGATTCCACAAGTTCCCTTATCCTTTCCTCTGTTGTTGTCTCCTATTTTTTTCACGATCGAAATCGAAAAATTTTAAAAAGAAAACCATAAAATTTATGCTCTTTAAGCAAAAGTAAACCACCTTTAGATGATCTTTTTCTGTGTCATCCTCCAGAATTTCTGGCCATTTTATCACTGGCAAACCATTTTGAAGCACTATGTATCCTGCAGTTGATTATTTTCATTGCATTAACATGGGACTCAAAAAACATTAATTTTTCTCCTCGAAAAATCCTAACAGAGTTACTTATAAATGCACCTTGGGTACTATGTTTGGATACAGCTTTGCATTGGAGAAGTGATGTAGATGTAACCTGTTTCCAGGAGGACCATAAACCTACAATAATTGGTTTGTTTATTTATACGTTTTAACTCGAACAATCAAACAAGAAAAAAAAACAAAGAAAACGAGTATAATTACTTTTATTAGCTTTATTCATATGAAAAATTAATAATTGAGGATGAGCTTCTAACCATTAGAAAGCAAAATTAGCTCTCGAGTTTAAAAAAAGAAAAAAATCAAAAAAAAAAAAAAAGAAAAGAAAAAAGAAAAAAAGAAACAGAACTTCTGATACAAAGAAAACGATAATTCTACTTGGAAACACGCGTGAACTTTTAAATATCTTACACGAGCTCAAAACTTACCAGAACTGGTGGTGGAATATGAAGGAGAAGTGGCAGGAATATGTAGCGGCGCTGCAGTGGTGGTGGTGGGTGATCGGAGAATAAAGATTGAAGAAGAAGTTAATAAAATTGACATGTTGTTTTACAAGGTGGGTCACGAGAAGGGTAAAAGTGATAGGGGGTTTAAATGGAGAGCGAGGGAAAGGAAACAGACAGAAACAACTTCCCAATAGATTCTTGCGAACGGATACATGGAATCATCCAAATTCATCAAAATGAGGTCACTCGTGTTCTTTCCATTTTTTTGAAAATGCATTTTTTTCTCTTTTATTTTTAACCACACATTCTTCATTAAAATAATATTTCATGTAAATAAAAAATATTTCCTTATTTTTCAACCGCACTTAAAGGATAGCACAATGATGCAAAGCATGTGTTGACTGATTTTATTAAAAATTGTTGGTGTTGCAAAATCGTGTTACCCAAAACCACGTTTTTTACCCAAGGATGGAAGCCCTAGATGATGCCATGTGTCAACCCCACTACCGTTGGATGACTGACCTTTTGGTGACTCTTATAAAAGGGGTCTTAGGGTTTGAAACGCGTGAATTTTCTCTCTGCGTCTTCGAGACTCTTCTTTTCTTCTTTGGCCGTTTGTGTTCCTCGTTGTCTTCTCTTTGAAAATCAAAACTCTCTTTTGATTTTTTTTGGTTTACTCTCTCAAATATTGTAATCTTGGGTGATTTCAACTTGAGTAGAGTATTGTGTTCCGGCGTGAACTTTCGATTTTGAGAGAAAACTGTGATTTTTACTATTATTTTGTGTGGTTACGGTCAAAGTGCCAAAACATTTTTATTTCAACGCCTTGGTTCTGATCGATTCTAACAATGGGTTTCCTAGAGACGGAAGCATTTGTATTTTTGGGAGATTCTTGGGTCCTACTGCCTTAGGGCATTTTTAATGAGATTTCCTTTCACTATGTTTTCGATCTTTAATTTCTGCATATTTTTTGTTGTTTATATTGTCTAATGTGTTGAACCTCCTCTTAACACACATATTCTCCATCAATCTACTATTTTAAAATACATTTTTCGTAAAAATGGGGCTCAAACACCTCTAAATTTTCTTCGTCTTTTTTCTTACCTATGTCATTTCTTCTCATAGTCATTTATAATTATACCAACAAATCAATTTCTCACCAACTTTCTTCCAATGCACTAAAAAGGAATAATGCTATTTAATATCAATTTAGGTGACACTAATATGATATTAAATAACATATACAATTCCATCTTTTATTTATTTTATCTAGGGGTGGGCGCGGGTCGGTTCGGTTCGGTTCGGTTCTAAAGAGAATCGAACCGAACCAAACTTTCGGGTATTTAGTAAATGGAACCGTCGGGTCCAAATATAATTATGGAACCGTTCGGGTTCGGTTCCGTTCGGTTCTGTACTATAATTAAATTTTTTAACATTTATAACAATATTATATAAATACAACTATTGATACATTCAATGGTTTTTGAATGTTAGAGATTAGTAAACTAACTTGTTTAAATGATCGCTACGATCAAAGTTTCGGTCGACGGAGGTCACAGTTTCGATCGGAGGTCACAGTGTCGACCGACGATTGTATAGGTTTTAGAATATTAGCGAGGTTGCGAGAGTGAGTGCGAGAGTCGAGACAACGTTATGCACTTTAGTGTAAGTGTTTAGGGTTATTTAGTGGATTTGATCTTGTTTGGCTAAGAAATGAAACAATAAAATGGGTAATTGGGCCAAAAATTAAAAATTAGAAATGAAACAAATTATTGGGCAAAAAATGTGGATTTAGAAATCGTTAATTTGTTAAGAAAAAATTATAATTAAAATAATTTGATTTACTAAATATAAAAAAAAAATTAAAAAGATTCGGTTCTTCAGTTCTTGGTCTAGAACCGAAAATCGAACTGTACCCGTCGGTTCTCAATTCAGATACCCGTTCGGGTATTTAATTTGACAAGAACCGTCGGGTTCGATTCGGTCGGTTCAGTTGTGGAAATTTGCCCAGCCCTAATTTTATCACATAGTACATCTAAATTGATATTATAGAATCAGTGATCAGTAGTACTAGATAATATTACTCAATAAAAAAATTAATGCTAACTACAACCAGTAGCACTACAACACTAATTTATGTAAATACATTTTATTGGTTCAATTGAATGAGTTATATGACTTTGCATTTAAAAGAATCTATCATTTAATGTTATGTAATTATCACATAAAGTGGTGATTAACACCAATGATAATGAATAGTGTTATTCAATAAAAAAAGAATAATGTTATTTAATACTACAAATATTAGTTTAGGTGATATTAAATGAGAAGAGAAATTAAATGAGACACTTAATTTCATGTTTCATTGAGCCAATCACATATCACCACCTGAATTGATGTTATAATAACAATGATTTTATCATTTAATATTATGTAATTGTCACATAAAGTGGTGATTAACACCAATGATAATGAATAGTGTTACTCAATAAAAAAAGAATAATGTTATTTAATACTAGGTGATATTAAATGAGAAGAGAAATTAAATGAGACACTTAATTTCACATTTCATTAAGCCAATCACATATCACCACCTGAATTGATGTTATAATAACAGTGATTCTAAATAACATTATTTATAAAAAAAAAAATGAGATTATTAAGGCTCGACGGGGTTTGCGTTTAGAGCCCGACTTCTGATGGTAAAAAAAAAAAGTTACTGTCGTTTTAGATGTCTGGTAAAAAAAATATTATGGAATAATCTGTATTATGTGGGATCAACTTTTTAAGAGTCAAGAATAGATTTTTGTGCATTTGAACTTTATTAAATTTTTATGATAAAATTTTACTATTGGTCCCTAACCTATTGCTTTAGTAGCAATTGGTCTTTAAAGTTTTATTACGGTTGCACAATTAATTCACAACGAAGAAAACTATTTAATCATTGTTAATTCTTCATGTGCCTAAATTTATGAAGCTACGTTTGTTCTCAACTTGGGTTGATGTCTAGAAGTTGATTGAATGGAATATTTCATGATAGAAAAATTCCATCCAAAATCGATTTAATGAAATGTTTCATTTTCAATCAAGATTTCATGATTTGAATATGGTCGAATCTTACCCAAAGAAAATTGTGCTTTTGGAATGATTTGAAGGGTCCATTTGGAGTGACTCAATAGCAAATGGTTTAGTGTGGAGCCCAGAAGTTGTTAACGTGAACTCTCATTTATTTTGTATCTTAACATTTACCTTAAAGGAAAAGAAAAGAAAAATAGATGACGCACTACATATCTGACTTCTAATAAAAAGGGCAACGAGGCAGTACTGTAGATGTAACAATAAATGAATCCAATTTTATCGTGCATGATGTCATTTTTTATTTTCGCATTTTGTGAAAATTTTTGTTTATGGTGATCTGACAAATGTCCTTCCACACGCATCATGCCATCATCATTAAAAATAAAAAAAAATAAAAATAAAAAAACTCCACACTTGAGCATTAAAATAAAATAAATCTTCGCACAGTGTGGAGAGATAGCAAACCTTCTCTCCGCATGCAAAGTGATCAACTCTCCCCGTACTGTGCCTCTTTGAAACTCTCTCCGCACTGTACGAAGAGATCAATTCTCTCCGCACTGTGGCTCTCTATAACTCTCTCCGCACTGTACGGAGAGATCAATTGATCTCTCCGCACAGTTCGAAAATATTTTCTTCTCTCTCTCTTGTTTTCCCCAATTTTATCTATTTTTTACGCAATATCTATTTTTCCCTACTTCTTCACACAACATCTATTTTTCCTACTTCTTTCCGTAACATTCATTTATCTTTCTTCTTTCCTACAATTTTCAACCCCATTTCTTTTTCTCTCAAACTCCTCTCTCTCTCATCCAAATTGTAAAATTTTTGCTCAATTCATATTTTATCTCTGAACATACCATAATTTTACTATGCTTCAGGTGTCTACGGTAGATAAAGTAATGGATCTTCGGGTCTCTCAATCCAAGAAAAGGTTTTGACCTAATTTTTTTAAAACTTTTACGGTTTCATATTAGAAGAAGTCTCGTGCTGGATGTTTGGTTTTCATTGATGATTATGTACTTAAAATTTTCGAAATTTTATCGTGCTCTTCTTGCAGTTGTCGCAATAAATTTTCTAAATGTTAAGCTTGAGTTTTTGGCTTTTTAAAGCTCGGTGATTGCCAGATGTATATTCCTCTTGAAGATGGTCTTTGGCCATGGATTCTTGACAAAGTATCTAAGTTAGTTTTTCATCTTTTACCTCAAACCTTAAAAAATTGTTTCTAATATGATTTCTATCTACTTTTTCGTTTGTATAAAATGCAAATCATAATGAATGTGTTTACTATTTTCCTCATTTAATTTACTTTATTTAGTGAGCAATGCTTTTCATGTGTTAGGATGGCTTTAAAATGAGAAAGTCACTAGGAAATACACTTGGGCCGACTGACTTGGTACATAGATTTGGCTCTGATGCAGTCAGTTATTTCTTTCTCAAGAAGGTGGAATTCGGTGGTAATGGGGACTACTTAGAGGACCATTTTATCAATATTATTAATGCACATCTTATGAAATTGATATTTTTTCTCGTCAATTTTATATATCCAATTGCATTTCGAATTCATATTTGTTCAGAGTCTTGAACCCGTGACATATTTTTTAAATCATTTATATATCTGCATTTGTGGTCGATGAACAAGGGCAAATTGAGTTGGGTATTGTTCTTATTTAGGTAATGAGACTAAAACTTGTGCTTGTGCTTATTTATTTACTTGTCTGTGAGAAAAGAACTGTCTATATGCACTTAAAAGAAAGTTAATAGTAAAAATTCAATTTTCTTATTAGCTAAATTATCGTTCATAATGACTAATGTCATTTTTTTGTTTTTAATGACAGATTTTGCCCATGTTTGAGCCACATTTTGGGAAAAATGCATTATTAATATCAAATCAATGAAAAATGTGAGGTTAAAAAATAAGAAATTTTTTATATTTGCGTGTAATATTATTTTATTGAAAAATGTGTAGATGAAATGATGTCAGATCACTGTTGAAGAATGTATTTTTTTGAAAATAATGTGGCTCAAACAAGCCCATACTTTGAGCTTTTCTTTTCTTTTTTCTGCTATTTTTTAATTGTTTTTTAATCTTTTTTATCCTACCTCCACACCTCTTCTTTTAA